TCATTCTCTTCTCACTTTCTGACCAGTCTCCTCAGCTCTTCTGGCTCATGGGCCATCATGGCTGCCCCCAAATGGTATCTTCAGCTCCCCAGTCACCATCACTGTGGTATATGCTGTTGGTATCTCACCCCAATGCCCTTTACTGGGCTGATGTCCTCATCTTGCAGCTACTGTGGTTATCAGTTAATAACAGCTCATATGTGTACCCTTCTCTGGAGGGCTGTCCTTCACCAACTGGAACCTTCTCTGCTGGAGATGCCCAAAAGGTTTTGCCCCACATTTCTTGGCCAGTGACTATCAGATGGGTGGGGGGCATGCAAAAGTCCATCCTCCTTGTCTCAAGGCAGGACACACTCGGTGGTACAATTTACACCCTGGAGAGCCCCTAGGATCAGGGCAGGCTGCCTTTTCCTGTCTCTGCTTAGCATCTTCCCCTGCCCTAGCTGCTCCTCTCACTCCCTTCAGGTGTAGCCTGAGGGCACTCCCTCAGTCAATCTCTCTGCCTCTAAGGAGTCTGATTTAGGATCATCTCCTTACAGACCCTGTGCCTGTGGCAAACTGGCTCAGCCTCTGCTGTCCTAATTCCAAATATCCAGGAGAGAGAACTCTCTCAAAGTTCTTTCTCTTTGAACTCTCATTCAAAGATCAGTCCTCCCTATGTGCAGCTTGGCTCAGGCTGAGCTCAGCCCAGCTTCTAGATTGAACACCTGGAGTTCATTTCAGGTGAACATTGGGATGCATTACAGGTACAACCCTCTGTGGCTGCAGAGGGGACAGAGTTAAATAGTATAGGGTAGATGAAGGGTACAGGGAGAGGGGACAACTCTCAGAAAAGGCTAGTCAATTCCTGCAAAGGTGAACCCTACCCACGTCCTCCTCCTCAGTCTTTCTTTAATTAATTTTCTTGGTCTTCTCTTTACCCCTCATCAATTTCCCCATCTACATCCCAAGTTCTAATCAGAGAGTAAATTTGTGAAAAGTAGCACCATATGATGGAGAAAGCACTGGGCTGAGTATCAGGATGGAAGATGGTCCTAATTCAGCCAACTCGCTTCACCTACACCTCTGGGTTTCCAGCTTTAAGGCAAACCAGACAGTCAGTTGGCTAGCTTCAATAGTCAGTGCTTTTCTGAAAATAAGGACTGGCTGGGTGCTGTGGCTCACGCCTGTAATCCCAGCAGTTTGGGAGGCTAAGGTGGGAGGATTTCTTGAGGCCAGGAGTTTGAGAACAACCTGGACAACAAAGCAAGACCCTGTCTCTACAAAAAAAATTTTTTTTTTTTTTTGAGACGGAGTTTCGCTCTTGTTACCCAGGCTGGAGTGCAATGGCGCAATCTCGGCTCACCACAAACTCCACCTCCTGGGTTCAGGCAATTTTCCTGCCTCAGCCTCCTGAGTAGCTGGGATTACAGGCACGCGCCACCATGCCCAGCCAATTTTTTGTATTTTTAGTAGAGGCAGGGTTTCACCATGTTGACTAGGATGGTCTCAATCTCTTGACCTCGTGATCCACCAGCCTCGGCCTCCCAAAGTGCTGGGATTACAGGCGTGAGCCACCGCGCCTGGCCAAAAAAAAAAATTTTTTTTAAAGACGGGGTTTCACCATGTTGGTCGGGCTGGTCTTGAACTCCCGACCCCAGGTGATTGGGGTTTGTTGTGGCTGGGTCTGTTGACCAAAGCACCAACAAGTGGTTTCTCCATGGGGCCTGGGCTTCATCACAGAACAGTAGCCTCAAGCTAGTAGGACTTTTGAAGGTGGCTGCTCATGGCTCCAAAATCAAGTGTCCCAGTTTACAAGGTAAGAGAGAAGCTTCCTTATTTTTATGACCTAGCCTCAGAAATCAACTATATTATTCCCACCACATTCTATGACAAGCAAGTCAAACTCATTCAAGTTTAAGAATCGGTGAACTAGATACTGCCTCTCAATGGGATGCGGGCAGGGCTCTCACAGAGCACACGGGATGGGAGATATTGTTGTGGCCATATTTGAGCACTAAAGTCTGCTGTGCATGTATTATCTCATTTAATCCTTCCATCATCTTTGGAAGTAGGTATTACTTGGATTACAGGCATGAGCCACCACAAAAAAAGTTTAAAAGTTAGCTGAACATGGTGGTCAATGCCTGCAATCTCAGTTATGCAAGAGGACCACTGAGCCCAGGAGTTTAAGGCTGCAGTGAGCTATGATTGTACCACAACATCACTGCCTGGGCAACACAGCAGAACCCTAAAAATAAAAAATGAAAACAAATAGGTCAGAATCTGGGTCTCTTGATGTCTGCATTCCTGAACTCAGCACAATGCCTGGCACAAAGTAAGAACACTGATACTGTATTTTAAAAAGGAGCTATTCTCCTTTTCAAAAAGGAGAATCATGCTGGGCATGATGGATAACACTTTTAATCCCAGCACTTTGGGAGGCCAAGGCAGTGGATCAACTGAGGTCAGAGGTTCGAGACCAGCCTGACCAACATGGCGAAATCCCATCTCTGCTAAACACACACACACACACACACACACACACACACACACACACACACACACACACACACACACACACAATAGCTGGGTGTGGGAGCAGACACCTACAATTCCAGCTACTTGGGAGGCTGAGACAGGAGAATTGCTTGACCCTGGGAGGCGGAGGTTGCAGTGAGCTGAGATGGCATCACTTCACTCCGGCCTGGGTCACAGAGCAAGACTCCATCTCAAAACTAAAAAAATAAATTTTTTTTTAAAAAGGAGCTATTCTCTAAAAAATGAAATGATGGTGAATTACATTAAGATAATAAGGTACAGCATGACCCCAAAGTATGCAATCTTCTGAGTGTGGTGCCTGTTAACAATAACTATCACTTGGTAAGTGCTCAGCTGTGCTGTTGTGTAAAAAATCACCCCCATATGTAGCCATTTAAGACAATGTAAGCCATTTTATTATGTTCATAGAGTCCGTGGGTCAGGCATTTGGACAGGACACAGTGGGGATGGCTTGTCTATACTCTGCAATGTCTGTGGCCTCTGCTGGGAAGATCTGAAGTCTGGTAGTGATTGACAGCTGGGGCTGGGATCACCCAGAGGCATCTTCATTCACAGAACCGGTGGCTGAGGACGGCCGTGGCTGGGTCTGTTGACCAAAGCACCTACCGGTGGTTTCTCCATGGGGCCTGGGCTTTATCACAGAACAGTAGCCTCAAGCTAGTAGGACTTTTGAAGGTGGCTGCTCATGGCTCCAAAATCAAGTGTCCCAGTTTACAAGGTAAGAGAGAAGCTTCCTTATTTTTATAACCTAGCCTCAGAAATCAACTATATTATTCCCACCACATTCTATGACAAGCAAGTCAAACTCATTCAAGTTTAAGAATCGGTGAACTAGATACTGCCTCTCGGTGGGATGCGGGCAGGGCTCTCACAGAGCACACGGGATGGGAGATATTGTTGTGGCCATATTTGAGCACTAAAGTCTGCTGTGCATGTATTATCTCATTTAATCCTTCCATCATCTTTGGAAGTAGGTATTATTGCCCCTGTTTACAGGGAAAGAAACTGAGGCTCAGAGGGGCTAAGCAACTGGCCTGTGGACAAAGCCAGTATATGGCAGAGCCAGAGTTCAACCTGGTCTGTACAGAGCAAGTGTTCTCCAATAGCATATGATGCTGCTTACAGGAAAAGGGAACTGAAAAAAGAACACATTTAAAGCCCAGTTCAGGAGTGAGGTATTCTCTCCCATCATCCTGATGTCGGAATTAGTATCTTCCCCATATGGGTAAAGGAATCTGGTTCCTGTGCATAACTCCCCAAGGAGTTGCTTCCTAGAAACTATGTAAGTATGTGTGTGCCTTTGATGCCCCAAGTCTTCTAGATATGCACTGTATGCCAAGGGCTGCTGTCTGCCCTCCCCAGCCCCACTTATATGGCAAAAGAGTCCGGGAAACAATGAGCAGGAGAAAGCTCTGACCCCCTCCGTGAAGGCAGCACGCAGAACCAGGTTGTGCCAGGAGTATCTTCTTTGCCATGACCCCCCTTTGAAACTACATCTTCCCTTTAAGTGCAAACAGGAACCTAGACTTCCAGAAAGTCATCGGGATACTCCCAGGATACTTATAATCTGGAATGTTCAGAAGGTACTCGGCACTCGCTGCTTGCTCTGCAGGTTTTCGTGTTCTAACCCCTCAGTCTTCTAAGGCCCCAGAGGGCAAGGTCCATGCCCTATTCTGCCAAAAATCCCCCACCCCTGCTGAACAGTACCCCATTCTTAATAGGCAGGCAATAATTAGGTCAAAAGGCCTCAGAAAGTTTATTATGATATTATAACAGGAGGACACGTGCTTCTTTAAAAGCATTTTTGGAGAGCCTACTATATCACAGGCATTGTGCTAATGACCCATGTGATCTAGAAGCAGAAATTTAGAAAATCAAATATGAGCCTTTTGGGCACTCTACAGCAGGTAAATAACAAATCAAAATTGGTATCTAGAAGCGAAGCATCCTTAATCAGATTAAGAGGCCTTCATGACAGGTGCATTTGAGGCGAAGGCTATAAGGTTACAATCTCTATCAGCTGTCAGATGCTTAGAAAGACCCTGCATAGAGTTTTGAAATCCTAATTCTTGATTATACTTTCTCCTAGAAGTTGTCTGAGTGATGATTTTAGCTGGGGCTATCAGTCAGGAAGGGCTGGGTCTTGCTGTCCTTAATTTCAAATCAGCCTTCCTGCAGTAGGCAAATTTCTCCACCTTTCTTTGAATTTGTCACCTTTTCACCTCAAATTGTTCCTAAAGGCCATGACCTTTGAAAATACCATTGAATGTTCAAAATCAGCCACAGATAAACCTGGTCATAAATTATGAGTAATGAATATCAGATTACCCATGATTTTATCTTCACTGATTCTTCATACTGTAAATCCTTGACCAAATACAACACTGTTATATAAAACTATTTCTTCAACATACCATCAACAAGAATAAAACAACTCCTGTAAATAATTACCTTTGGGATATGAAAGAAAATGTAAACATTTTATTTGGCAGTTGTTTCTGAACACATGAATAAATAAATGGAAAAGTACATATTAATATTTCTTTTTGGAGTAACAGATACCATTAAACGCTTATTTACACATCTTCACTGCAAATAACAGTTACACAATTAAATTTTGTCTTATAAAAGGTAACTTCCCACATCACTGGACTGGACAGTTAAGGATGGAGATACTGGTAGTGCTTGGTTCTAGCAGTCTCAATGTTTGAAAGGCATTCATTTGCAAGTGTGATAAGAAGAGTCATCATGCATTGAGTTCATCCGGGTCATGTACTGTAGAAAGTTTCCGATGGCAACCACAGAATTTGGTGTCTCATGCGCTTAAGTCAACTATGACATGTTTGTAAATCTGTGTATTTCCCTTAAAACTGGAAGCAAAAAGAAAATTACGCTTATTAATGGACACATGCGTGAATGATCTTGGTGCCTGAACATTTAATTCCTGAAATTTCACAAATGTGGCTTTCTCTGAATCCCAGTTAAACACTTGAGTAAAGGAGTAATCACTTCCAAGAATTGCATATTGGTAATTATTTATCTGAAGAGGCTGGAACACCATAGATCCTCGTGATGGTATCCTCTGAATATCCTGGAATGAGGAGCCTCCCCATTTCATGACTTTGGAATCACCAATGAATCTTGTCAAGCAAATGTACACATCCCCTTTCACTGAGAAGTGCTTCACTGCATATACATCCTCCATGTTAGGAATGTCAGTTTGGTTACTGAATAATTGTGTTGCTTTGTTCCACTGATAAATTACAGGACGCTGGGAACTACTAGACAGAATTAAATGAGGCGTTCTGAGTGTCTGAGGTGTTCTGACTATTTCCAGATATTCCACATCAGTGTCCCTGTACCACGCGTGTAAGGACTGATGGGAGTAGAATCCGTTTCCATTCCATTTGTAAATGGTAGTAAAACCAGCTTTTGAACTGTCAGCCACAACAAAGTACCAGTTGTTTTCAATCTTGAATGTTTCAATGTCATTGGGTTTTCGGATTTTGAGAATTTCAATATCCTGGATTTTAATGAATTTATTTGCAAAACTGTCTCGCTTATAGATGTGAGAGCCACCAAACAGCTGGGCCACGATAACATACAGCTGAGTTTCAATGACTATAGGCTTGCATACTACAGTGGACGTGCCTGGAAAAAGACAAAGGAGAGATTAGTTGTGTGACCATCTTCTTTTGGAGCATGTAAACATGCAGGCTGGCTGGGGCCATACAACCTCCACCCAAATCAGCCTGAAACAAGAGAGATCTCCTTGGTTGATTAGGCAAGGCTCATCTCCAAAGCCCGGTGGCAGCAGTGTCCTGAAGTTCTGTGCCTTTGTGCCTCATAGGCCTTGTTACCAACAATTGAGTCATTAATGTCACATCCAGCCTGCTCTACATGTTCAGGACAAACAGCTGCGGCCTCAGTGTTCTCCTCTCATTTCTTGCAGAAAGAGAGCATTACTTTCCCTGACACATCAGAAAAAAAGGATTCTAAAAGGGTCTCAGTTTGGAAGGGATCCCTTTATTTAAGCAACCCCAGCCTCAAGCAAGCCTCAGACCTGTCTGCGTCCTTTGAGCAGTGAGGCTAATAGCCACCAGCAAAACCTGTTATGACCCTCCATGCCTTGTCTACAGTGTTACCTTTTATGGGGAGATATGAGTGCTCTTGAGAGCAGATTTAAAGGTATTAGAAGCTAAAGCTGATATAAAAATTGTAGCGGGATCCTTATGTTCTAATTTATGACTTAGAATTTTAAAAATTATTAAAATGGGAAAGAAACTTAAGAGATCAGCGAAGTAAGGCCAGGCAAGGTAGTTCACGCCTGTAATCCCAGTTCTTCGGGAGGCCAAGGTGGGTGGATCACTTGAGGCCGGGAGTTCAAAACCAGCCTGGCCAACATGATGAAACCCTGTCTCTACTAAAAATACAAAAATTAGCGGGATGTGGTGGCACACGCCTGTAGTCCTAGCTACTCAGGAGAGTGAAGTACAAGAATCACTCGAACCCAGGAGGCTGAGGTTACAGTCAGTGATCCCAGGTCATGCCACTGCATTCCAGCCTGGGTAACTGAACAAAACTCTGTTTCAAAAAAAAAGAAAAAGAAAAGACAAAAGAGATTAGCTAAGTATAAGTTTTCATAGAAAGAATTAGATTCCGGCTGGGTATGGTGGCTCACACTTATAATCCCAGCACTTTGGGAGGCCGAGGTGGGTGGATCATAAGGTCAGGAGTTCGAGACCAGCCTGGCCAACATAGTAAAACCCTGTCCCTACTAAAAATACAAAAATTAGCTGAGCGTGATTGCAGGTGTCTGTAGTCACAGCTACTTGGGAGGCTGAGGCAGGAGAATCACTTGAACCCGGGAGGCGGAGGTTGTAGTGAGCCAAGACTGTGCCACTGCACTCCAGCCTGGGTGACAGAGCGAGATTCCATCTCAAAAAAAAAAAAAAATTAGATTCTATGGCCAAGTTAAGAGTGAAGAATATTGGAAAAAATTTCCTCACTGCAGGACTTCTCAGAGCCACAGATGTATGTATTATGAATCTCCAAGAGGGAGATATGGTTCACAAACTTATTGGACCACAAAATCCTTTTGATTATAAGGCATACAATTTGTAGAAGAAATGTTTGTGTAACAAAATTTGAGACTTGTTGACCTAAAATAACCTTCTTATTTTATAGTTAAGAAAAAGGGCTGGGGTGTCAGTGAATATGATCAGCTTGTCTAAATAGGCTGTGGCAGAACCTGGACTAGAACTCATGATTTATAATCCAATACTTTTCTTTAAAGAAAAACAATCAAATTTTTACTGTGTGTGTATTATGCTAGGCCCTATGCTAAGTTTCATGAATATATGTTCACATTATCTTATTAACCCTGTGAATTAAGTATTAATATTATTCACATTTTACAAGTGAGGAAATTACAGCTTAGAGAACTATCCCAGGTAACTTAGCAAATGGTAGAGTTGGAATTCAAATGACTTGAGGCCTGCTAAAGCACTCCCATATACCACTCATCTTTCCTTGTTGCCTTTGGCTGAAGCAGTTTAACTTCCCACTCAAAATATTATTAAGCTTTTCGTACCTGTGATGTTATCATAATTCCGGAAGGTCTTTTCCACATGGTCCCATTCAAGGAAGATGCATTTTCCAGTAAAAGGCTGAGCGATGACTACATACTCATCGTTCAAATAAGAAAAAGCATCTATGGACAATGATTGATAAGGCAGGTCTTGAGATTTTGCAAATTCTGCAAAAATAGGAAATGATAAATAACTGTGAGCTAATACCTCTTTCCTTGGCTAGATCTCAAATATTCATAAGAAATACATTTATTTCAGAGAATAGTAAAATGGCCATTTTACTTTTCTTTTAAACACATGAAGTGTTGTCAATGGTTCATAATTTTTTAAAAATTAAATTGCTCAGCTAGTTTTTAAGATGTAAAAAATATCAGTTCCTGCACATGAGAAAAAATGTAGCCCTTATTTTAATTTTATGAGGTGGAATTACCTGTAATGATGCAATCGAAATCCTTGGAGGAGAGACTATTGATTTTGCGCTTCTTGTATTCTGGGGGGCCTTCACAGTAGATGTCTTCAACAGTTGCATTGGTGTGGCCAAGCCATTCCACCAGCCATTTCAGTTTACAGTCACAATTAAATGAATTCCCCCTCAGGTCCCTGGAAGACAAACTTCAGCTGCTTTTGCTGTACAAGGGCCATACCCACACAGGTAAGATTTATAAATCAACAGTTAACATGTGCAGAATGACCTTACCTGGCTTTACATCCTGCCCTATAACCTGCCTGGAACCTGACTGACTGCTCACTTTGGGCTCAGAGAGTTAGCACCATGCACATCTGAAGACTACCCAGACAATGGAACCTCATAACTTACTCCCTCTTGGATTCCAAATGACTTAGTCTAGGGCTGTGCTGTCAACAGAAACAGTATGTGAACCATTATTGTAATTTAGAATTTTCTATAGCCACATTAAAAAAGTAAAAAGAGACATGTCTAATTCATTTTAATGTTTCATTTAACCCAATACAGATAAAATATTATCATTTTGACATATCATCAGTATAAACATTATTGAGATATTTTACAATCCTTATTTATACTAAGTCTTTGAAGTCCAGTGTGTTTTTATACTTACAATATATCTCAATTAAGATGCTAAATTTTATCAGAAATAGGTGATCTATATTTAGATGTCATAAAATTTATAATCGAAAAAAATAGATGTATATACCCAAATTGTTCCAAACATACTTAAAAGTTTCCAATAATTGAGCTGAGAATCAGCTTTTAAATTTAAATTTAACTTATAAAAAAGTAAGTAAAATGTAAAATTCAGTCTCAGTTGCACTAGGAGCACATTTTAGGTGCTCAGTGACCATAAGTGGCTGGTTGCTACCACATTGGACAGTACAGGTCTGCAGGACGAAATGTTGTGATTATTGTAATGTATTTAATTAAATCAAGTGAGCTATTTGCTTTTCTTCTTCCTCACAGACATAATTAATCCTGATCTTCTTCCATGGTCGACAAATTCATTTTAAATAGGAAATGACTTTGTCACAATAGAGTTAACACAGACATGCAATAGCTCATGCCTGTAATAAGGTATACAGCACAGACCATTTAAATTTCCACATATGACCCCAACTCACCAAGTTCTCTGTGTATTTGCATTGCTTCTGTTCAGGAATTCCACCTCCTCTCCTGGTCACACAGAATTCTTAAGATAGGTGCTGCCTACTCTTCACACAGCACATAAATAATTTTTAAACGCCCAAACACTTAAAAATGTTTTTTAGAGGATACTTTCAAGAAAGCCAAGAAATCCACTAAAAGGCAAGTTGGCATGGATCCTTGTACTTCTAAGATAATTCTTGATTTGGGCATATTAGAGTAGGGCCATGGATAAACCCATCATGGGATTCCCTGGAGAGACTGAGCCAATTTCAATATTGTTTTGATTTTGTTTTGTTTTGTTTTTACTAGTGTAGGGTGTAGACTGACACAAAAATGGGGTAAAGGACCCCCAATGAGCTACGTCCCACATCACCATGGAGTGTGTTCTAACTTCCAAGACACTCCCAGAACTGACCTCATCTCCCAGGAAAACTCTGACCCACAGTAATGAGTGGCAACCTTTCAGGCTACTGTAAACCAGAGAGGATAACTATGGTCTGTGCAGGACCCTCTTGGAAGACTCCTGATTTGGGCATTCTCCTGGAATTAAACCATCATTCAGGAATTGGGGTAATAGGCATGGAGGAGGGGCTGGGGAAATACTGCAAGGAACAAAGAGAGTTTTTCATTAGGTTACTGATTTGAAGTTAAATACTGGGCTTGGAAGAAAGTGCTTGACTCAGATTTTCTTTTTGTTTGTTACTGGAGAAAAGATGTTTTGAATATAGATTCTACAGCAAAGTACCTGAATAATATTTTTAAAAAGCTTTTGTTTTCATATTTATTTTTATTTGTTCCTGTATTCTATCTTATGACATTTAAATACCTTTCTAATGTCCTGCAAGGCAAACAGTGAAGCTGAATTGCTCTTGAGAAGTTTGGGCATATATTACTTGCTTTGCTTACAGCAAAATATACAAATTCCTTGCAAAGATCTTTCAGTAGAGGCTTAAAAGTCAAAGTTTGAAAGCTCTTTTGTTTGAAAAAGGGTCAAAAATAATTAAGTTCATTCCCTTCCTGGGGCTTAAGCCAAATTCCTGGGGATTAAGCTTAGAGTTGTTCAGCTTAATGAGAGAAAGGCAAACACTTTCCTCCCTTCCCCCACTTCCTGCTCATTTTCTCTGTTGACTGACCAACCCAAGGGTGTAACCTTTCATCTTTATTCTGTTAGTTTCCCAGACTCCTGTATGTTTTTCCTTTGTAGCCCTACTTCCTGGACTTCATGAGAAAAAAGGGATCTTGAAATTTCTAGCTGGGTCTCTTCCCACCCCATCCAAGTCCCTTATCATCGCTGCCTGCCATATAGACACACACTTTGTCAAAGGAATGCCTGGGTGCCATGTATTCAGAATTTCCAATGATAAATACCATAGAAGACTCAAATGTTAGTCCATGTAAATTTCAATTTTTGGCCAGTTAAAATTTAGATTTAGAAATCCCAATTTTAATTTAAAAGCCAATTAAAAATTCTAATCATCAATACCAGGCTTCCTTGTTAATGACTGCAAATTAATTAATTGTTCAGTGATTTCTTAGGTCTTCTTACACATTTGTTAAAGAATCCAGGCCTTTGAAAATATCTTTTGGGAGTGTCTGAAGATTGTTGTTTGCAAGGCTCCTGGAAAAAAAAAAAAGGTGATGTAAACTGTAGTGATAAATTAAATGAAGGCATTTAATGATAAAGCTTAGTTATTAGTCTCTTTTGTCATTTCCAGCCTACTAAATGACCTGTGGTCCTTTTTTTTCTTCTGAAATACTACTCAGATTCCTGCTATTGTCCTTTCAGTTCCCAACCTGTTCACTTCAATATCCACTCAGTATTTATCTTTTTTTTAAGACGGAGTTTCGCTCTTGTTACCCAGGCTGGAGTGCAATGGCGAGATCTTGGCTCACCGCAACCTCTGCCTCCTGGGTTCAGGCAATTCTCCTGCCTCAGCCTCCTGAATAGCTGGGACCACAGGCACGCGCCACCGTGCCCAGCTAATTTTTTGTATTATTAGTAGAGACGGGGTTTCACCATGTTGACCAGGATGGTCTTGATCTCCTGACCTTGTGATCCATCCGCCTTGGCCTCCCAAAGTGCTGGGATTACAGGCGTGAGCCACTGCACCCGGCCCTATATTTATTTATTTTTATGTTTATTTTTATTTTGAGACAGATCCTTGCTCTGTCACCCAGGCTGGAGTGAAGTGGTGTGACCTTGGCTCACTGCAACCTCTACCTCCTGGGTTTAAGCGATTTTCCTGCCTCAGCCTACATAGCTGGGATTGCAGGCGCCTGCCACCATACCTGGCTAGTTTTTGTATTTTAAGTAGAGGCAGAGTTTCACCATGTTGGCCAAGCTGGTCTCAGACTCCTGAGCTTCAGTGATCTGCCTGCCTCAGCCTCCCAAAATGCTGGGATTAGGGGACCAATTCAATATTTAAACAACACTTGATGTTGGTTAAAAACAACAATTCCTGGGCATTGATCTTTCCATTTAGAACAGAACACAGGAGATTCATACTCTCAGATATTCAGTCTAGGGGATAGCTCCCAAATGATGACTAACTGAACTGGTGACAGTGTCCGTCTCCAAATGCCCCCTCTCCTCCAGCCTGGGCTGCTGCTCCTTCTCCCTGCTTCCTCCTCCCTTGCTCTGGAGAGCAGCCAAACCTCCAACCCAAAGTGCCAATAGCTCTATCCCTTCCCCAGTACATCCTTTCTCCTTTCCGAAGCCCACATCGCCTTTTCCTTTCTAGCTCCATTCATTCCACCTCAGAAAAAGTTTTCTCATAAATACCTATTCATCTATTCTCTTTAATCATCTCCCTTTTTCTCCTTCTTCTGGTTCTTTGTCTATGATCACAGGAATGATTTTCCCTTTCCCTTTCTATTTGTTCTTCCATAAATCACTAGAATGATTCTAATCAAGGTTAATCAGTAGAAAATAGTCCTGATAATGTCAAGGAAAGGGAAATGTGTCCCTAGTACAGAGATACAGACATAGCACAGAGCTAATGCTGTATGACCAGAGAAGGGAACCAGGTATTGTAATTTTCTGTTTTTAACCAGCACCACGTATATACACATTATAAACTTTTCTTAGAGGTAGTTTTTTTCCACAATAAAAATAAAAAACTAAAACCACAGAGCCCATCCCATTGGCCTCTAAACCCTTGAAAATTCTCTTGACTTCCCTTTAAAACATTCTCAAAAGTCTTCTGTGTCTTTTACCTCCACCAATTCAATATAAGACTTCTCAAATACAAACATTCAAGACTTTTAGAACTTATTTTTAAGTTAGTTATGTCATTGTTCTGGGATTTAGAAATTACTACTAGATTGGAAAATGGCTCTCAATGAACCTTGGAATGTAAGAATAGGAACTGAGTAAGAAAGTTGCATTCCCAATGGCGATCCACTGGTGACAAAGAACTTTTAGAGTGATTCTGAACTAGGTTTCAATTCTGACTCCAGCATTTACTGGCTGTGTGACTTTGGTGATGGATCTTCTTGGAAATTCAGTTGTTTCATTTTTAAGTGAAGGTAATAATACCTTATCTCATAAGATTACTGGAAAATAAAATGAGATAATCAAGGATGGTGCAGGCATCTGGACTACTCTCAGTAGAGTAGCTGGGGTCGGAAGAGGAGAAGGGCTTCTGTATGTACATTGTCCAAGAAACAATGTTTAGAAACAGACCACACGAATGCCCTGCTGTGGCTGTCCACATACAGTAAAATTAATAAAATGCTGCTAAGGAAGACTATTCATGAGAACATCTCCATAATTCATCTTACTGACTGCTGTTTGAATGAAGAGATTTCCTGATGTCCTGGACCAGTCCAGAGTCACTCCCATGTTATGTGTCTCAGTTTATTTTCTAGCACAATGTGGCTTAAAGTTCTCATACTAAGTTGTTTTTTTTTTTTTGAGACAGAGTTTCGCTCGTTACCCAGGCTGGAGTGCAATGGCACGATCTCGGCTCACTGCAACCTCCGTCTCCTGGGTTCAGGCAATTCTCCTGCCTCAGCCTCTTGAGTAGCTGGGACTACAGGCATGCACCACCATGCCCAGCTAATTTTTTGTATTTTTAGTAGAGACGGGGTTTCACCATGTTGACCAGGATGGTCTCCATCTCTTGACCTCGTGATCCACCAACCTCAGCCTCCCAAAGTGCTGGGATTATAGGCGTGAGCCACCACACCCGGCCAAGTTCTCATACTAACTTCTAAGTGGATGTCCCTTCCTCTGAAGCCGGCAAAAACGCAACTGGCTGCAGGGCATACATTTAGAAGCTGAGTCACAGGACAGTGGAGACAGTGGGCATGCAATGATTAAGCAGTCACATCCTGAATTACTACTGCCAATAGGACTACATAGGAAAAGGCACTGTGCTTGTCTTACTGTTCAAGGAGAATTCTTTTAATTTTGGGACAGGGTCTCACTTTGTTGCCCAGGCTGAAACATAGCAGTGTGATCACAGCTCACTGCAGCCTCAACCTCCCTGGCTCAAGTGATCCTCTGGGCTCAGCCTCTCCAGTAGCTGGGACCACAGGTGTGTGCTACCACACCCAACTAATTTTTTTTTAATGTGTAGAGAGACAGGGTCTTGCTATGTTGCCCAGGCTGGTCTTGAACTCCTGGGCTCAAGTGATCCTCATTCTTCTGCCTCCCAATATGTTGGGGTGACAGGTGTGAGCCACTGTACCCTGAGGGATTCTTTTAAGCAAGGGATGAATCTGGAAGTTCTACATCTTGCCCAAAGGAGTAGAGCTTTACGCTGCACATGATCCACGTCCAAGCTAACCACAGAACGCGTGGCCAAAGAGAGTTGCAGACTCGGAGCTACCGGGCTTCCAGAATGGAGAGGTGGTATTTTTGCATGACAAAATGAAGGTCTTCTAAGTCATCAGAATTGGGAGATGGGGCTTAGAAAGACAAGCTGGCCCGATGGGCTGTGGAATGAGGCATTACATTTCCTGAGAACTTGTGACAGAGGCTCTTTCCTTGGGAATTAGGGGGTTGGGGAGGCAGAGGAGCCAGAGGGAGAAATGGTGGGTGGATCCACTGAATCCAGTGTCACTATTTGCTGCTCTGTTACCAAAAATTCAGTAAATCCTTGCCCATAATGGACTGCTTTTAGAGGAGATAGTCTAGGTTTGGTGAATGATGGGCATGAGAAGGCTGCCAGGATGTACTAGGAGAAGCAGAATCAAGAGGAAGTAAGATTCAGAAATGAGGGTGAGGCTTCCAGACACCCAAAGGCTGGGGAGCTGGAGTTCAAACAGCTTCCCTAAGTCTCTGGGAGGCCCCAGTGCCATCAGGTTACATTTGGATAAAAAAAGCAGACAGAGGGACTTGGGCAGAGAATGACTTAGGAAAGCAATGCTGACAGAGCCTCAGAATTATTCTGCAAAAAATGTAACAGGTTGGCCGGGCGCAGTGGTTCACGCCTGTAATCCCAGTGCTTTGGGAGGCAGAGGCAGGTGGATCACCTGAGGTCAGGAGTTTGAGACCAGCCTGGGTAACATGGCAAAATCCTGTCTCTGCAAAAAATATAGAATGTGGCTGGGTGTGGTGGTGTGTGCCTGTGTTCCCAGCTACTCTGGGAGGCTGAGGTGGGAGGATGGCTTCAACCCAGAACCTGAGGCTGCAGTGAGCCATGATCGCACCACTGCACTTCAGCCTGGGCGACAGACAGAATGAGACCCTGTTTCAAAAAAGAAAAAAAGAGACATAAGGGATTGTGTAAATAAATGATGGTCCATAGGTAACATGGAATATTTTACAGGAGATTTTTTAAATGAGGTAGGTCTCTATGATTTAATATGAAGTGATACCTAAGTGTAGAGTGAGTGTCATCTTTTTAGAGCAGGAAAAACAGATGTCTATAGATACACAGAGAAAACGCTATCAGGAGATACAAAAACTATTGACTGAGGTTGTAGCTTGGTATCGGGTTATGGAATCTTTCACTTTTCTATGTAAATACATACTTATATTGTGAGTTTTTGTTATCAAGCATGTATTACTATTTTATAATCAGAGGAAACAAAGAATAAAGTTGACTTTTTGAAAGGATCCTGTTGCTTAGAATTCATACATATATATGGTTCTGTCCAGTGAGGGTTCAGTCATTTGAAATCCATCATTTGGCTGCATTTGTCAAGTTCCAAAGCTACCTACAAGCTTAGGGTAGGAATTACTGTCACTGCCCAAACGCAGGGGCCTGAGTGGTTAGGTCATGCAAATGTCTTTCACAAGACCTCCTGCAGGAGGGAGCTAGCTGCCTGTTTCCTAAAAAATTCCCATGCAGTTTCAGGCCCTTACCCTCTAGGGAGCTTTGGGGCTACAGGTAAGCCCAGGCTTGAAGCCACCACTATGGTTCTTTGTGCCAGCTTAAAGCCAGCTGTGTTGAAGGCCTGTTGCCTCCACAAACCATCATAGGCATCTGAGGGCTTAAGGGAGATTCACTGCAGGGGAGAGCTGCTGAGGGCACTGGGACCAGGGGCACCAGGAAGAAAAAGGGGCGTCATGTGACGCTCCCTGAAGCCTCCTCAGCATTTAGTCATGAAAAAAGGGTAAATAGGGCTGGGTATGATGGCTCAGGTGGATCACCTGAGGTCAGGAGT